TGAGCATAGTGCATTCATTCAGCTGTCTTGCTCTTTCTGGAAATCTGACAGTTTTCAATTTTTGTTACTGTAAATAGTGGTACCATAAAGTATCTTTACCATATAGCTTGGTCTCAGGTTTCGTTATTTAGGGTTAATTCTTTACAGCAAAATATCATGAGAAATGAAACATGACATATATTGGATTTTTTTCTAACTGAGAGAGAATGTACAAATGTCTGCAGTCCAGTGTAGTGTGCGAAATCGCCTGTTTTCCTCTGTATCACTAATGTTATGGAATGTAATCGCTTTCCCACTCCTCAAAAGGCAGATCACTGCCATTCCTGTAAGGGAAGAAGATGAACCAGGGAACAGCTTGGCACATTTATGAACTGTAACTTGGAGCTGACACGGGGCTTTCAGAAAGGAAGGCCCAAAGACCTGGAGGAAAATGTTTTTATGCTTCAGTTGGGTGAAGAATTTACAGGGATGTAGAAATGTGACGGGGCGAAAGCCTGTTACCATTGTAGGACCTAATTGCAGCAGACTAAGGCCAGAGTGTCTGTTCGGATTCTTCTCAGATGCTGCACAGCCAGCTTTCTGCTCAAGTGTCAGTCAGGGCCCACTGGAGTGAGGGGCTCTGAAGGGTGAGGGAGAGCTTCCTTTGTACCCTTGGGGGCTTGTTTTAGGAAAGAAAGTGTTCTTGTTTCTAAGTCCCTCCTGGAGCAAGAGGGATTCTGGTTTTTTATGCTTCTGTGGGTGAGAGGATGGTTGGAGGGCAGAAGGCATTCAGAGAAGCTTTCTTTGGGGATCCCCCATTTTGGGGGGCATTTTGTTCTGAGCCCAAAGCAGGATAATCAGTCTTTATTCTTTGCAGTCTGGGAGATGGACGCAAACATCCTTTTAAACTTCAGAGATTTATGCTTATGACTATCCAAATTTCATCCAGAATCCAGATCTAATTGTTTAAGCCTTGGACCCCAAATTGTGTGTGCTTAGTGCCCCAGGATAGCCCCGAACCTCCCACCCCAGAGGCACTACCCATCCAGGTGCACCTTACCTCAGGCATATTCCTTTCCTACTTTCCTCACTGAAATACTCTCTTTTTCAATGCGATATATCTTGAGAAGGTTCGGAAGGAAAACAGCCTGATAAATGGATTCTCCCTAATCTGTGAATAACTAATAGCACTCCAACCTGTACTTTTTAATGAGTCTTCTTAATAATCAAGGCTTGGAGAATCTCTAGGGGTGCAATTTTGGGTCTATTAAGAGAATGAAGTGAGAAAAAAGTACCCAAGTAGAATGGTACGATTTTTAGAGGGGAACAGCCTGTTTCACCTGCCCTGGAATCGATTCCAGATTCATCTCCCTTCACTAGCTAACGGTTCTTTGCTAGCTGATTCCCTTTGCCTTCTAATATCACTAATGGAGAAGTATTCCACTCAGCTGTATGCTTGTGTCTCCAGGGCACCTTGGAGCCTCCTAATTCCTGGGGTAACCACCACCAGACATCTGCCTTAACTTCATGTGATGCTATGGGACCTGTATTTTCAAAATAATCTCTGGCTATTCCTGCATGTAAAAGTGTTGTTTTACCACTGCCTACTTCCTCAAAGAGCTGAGCCTTTCACATAGACTCCAGCTGTAGGGAATGTGGAGCTCGTAGGCAAAGCATGATTTCAAAGGAAAAACAGACCAAAAAAGCAAAAACCAAAACAAAACCACAGAAAATGAATGAAAAAGCCCAACTCAGAGACCTCTCAATAAGTAATACCCTTGAAGGGAGATAGGAAAGGATGGAGACAGGGCCAGAAACAAGAGGAGAGCTTAGACTGCTGCTGTCCTAATGCCCACTGAGTAGGCGTCTTGTCTCAGGCCAGCTTCACCTGTACATGACTGGATGCTGGGCCTCCGATAACAGACCCCTCCTCGTAACTTTCTTGCTGTCTCCTGTGCCTAGCAGGGCACGTGTCCTTCAGGGACCATTTAGGCCCTATATGTTGAACTAATCACTCACTCACCCTTCCAGCCTAAATAACCTATATCTTACTTTCAAATGTAATCTTATGTTTTATGCAGATATATTCAAATAAGTATGCAAATGAAATGTAAAAAAGACCTATAGTTGGGTATGCCCCCAAATGCTCCCAACATAAGTCAAATGTTCATCATTGAGCAACACCTGACAGAGGCTCTACCTCATTAGAGAGTCGCTGTGGCCAGGACCTAAATCTTGGCCCCTTCCTCAGACAGCTGCCTTTGGAAGAAAGTGGGGCCACCCGGCTAAGCAGCTTGTGGGGTCTCCTCTCCACCCCAAGCAGATGTTCAGGGCTGCAGCAAGCTGAAAGGTAACTGGCAGAAAAGGAGGCACACTCCTGCATCCAGGCTGCTCTGGCACATGGGGCATAGATGGCCTGCTGCGGCTACAGTGCCCACGCCTGTGCCCACATAACCCTTGGCAGCTTTTCCAGCCAGCTGCGCGTTCAGGACCATGAGCGCTGCGCCTTCCATCAGCCTGAGGCCTCTGCTCTGACTGGGAATGCCTCCGTCCTGCCAGGCCTCTCGGGCATGGCTCCCACGGGCTTTGCCAAAGCTGGCTTCTTTCCCCTCTTGAAACAGCTCGCAATCCATTTCAGATTCTCTTTTCTCAACTCTGCCGTAAGGGGGAGCCTCACCAGCTCTGCCTCTGGGCCTGACCGCTCTCCTCTCCTCCATCTGCTCAGCAGACAGACAGTGCTTGAACACGCGCCTTCCTCGGGTCCTTATGCTGAAGCCCCCCTCAGAGCCTCTCACGTAGCAACTCTGCTTTTAGTCCCAGGCTGCACGCTGGAGTTCCCCAACGAGCTGTGGGAAGACAGAGCGATGCGCAAGACCCTGACATTCAGATGGACCTGTTTTGCTCAAAGTGCTCTCTAGAATCTTCTGTCAAGGATTCTGCAGAGACCCCTTCGTGGCTGGGAGTGGGGCTCCTGGCCGGCTGCAGCCTCTTCCCTTCGGCCCTGCTTGCCCTTCCAGACCCTTGTTTCTCTGCACAGCACCTCCGCCTCCTCACTCTTGCTCTGTGAGTTACAAACTAGGGCACACCTTCAAAACTTGCCCTCTCTGGCGATCATTACTTTTGTGAGGCGTTCTTGGAATCCTTATATCGGAGCTGAAAGCGACAACAGGAAGACGGATGAAGATTGCAGCAGAGGTCTCGCTGAGTTCAGTCCTGCTCTCCGTGAGCCCCAAGCCACTGGAGCTTGTCACATGACTGGGGGTTCAAGCAGGCTCAGGAATGCGCATAACTAATTTGGTACAAACAAGCTGCTATTTACATCTTTCTAGCATTCCCCAAACTCTAAGCATCACTAGGTGGTAACCTCCCAGATAAAGGAACAAAGCCGGACTGGGCTCTGCCTCCAGGAGTCTGTTACCTTGTCTCCAGCTTATAGAGACTGAGTAGGGGCCAGTTTCCTTAGGCTCTGCTCTTTGTTCCTTCTCCCTGGGACAGTAAGCTTCTGAGTCACGTCACTACATCCCCACACGGAGTTAAACCCCTTTCACTTCTATCCACATTGTACTTTTTCACCCATAATCACAGCTTACGTTTCGATGATGATGATGATGATGATGATGATGATGATGATGATGATGCTGATACTTGGCTTACTTCTCTGTCACGTGAGCCTGAACTTGAAGACTGGTATCTTAATCCTTTTCACCTGTGTCTCACCTAGTGAACACTGCTCCCCCAGGATGAGGACCACATGTTGATATCCATACTCCTCCCTCCCAGGGACCCCTGAGCACTTCCTGTTCTGTGATTTGAGTTAGTTAACAGGAGCACGTGCTGCTGATCACCTGACCTGTTCTGCAGCCCCTCATGCATGAGCCTTCAGGGCCAGCAGTGCCCACTCCATGAGGTGATAACTAAGGCGAGGAGAAGGAAAGCCGCAAGACAGACGGCAGGGCACAGTCGTGACTGTCGCATGGGCAGCCCTGGCTCTCTGCTGCTGTTGCAGAAGTGTCTTTGTGTTCAGATTAGCTAATCAGCCTGTTTCCTTCCAGCAAGCACTTCACACCACCAGCCTGGAGCAGACAATACCTTCTCGGAGGAAGTAGTCCAGACCTCATGATCAGCTCCTGATGTGGTCTCCCCAGCCAGAGAGGTCAGCAGTGTAGTGTGCAGTCTGACAGAAGAAATCTGGGACAAAAGGAGAGGAAGAAATGAAAGGAAGTTCCCATACGTCAGCACCCCAAGAGCCTTCACACTGTCTAGCACTCTCCCTCCAGATAGCCTCC